CCAGTTTCCGGCGTCCGGATTGTAGGCGAGAGGAAGAAGGAAGTTGATTAACACAGACGATCCTTGCTGAGCAACGCCGCCGATACCCTGTGTCTTTGCTCTCAACCTCAACGAGCTCGTTTCGCCCATGATCGCATAGCCGGCAGGCCACGCGCCCATACCACAAACAATGATGATGGCGATGCACCCTCCGGCGGTGAAATACGCGACTGCAGGTCCTCTCCATATGCCAGAGATACCTACAGCAATCCAGAGTACAGTAGAGATTGACATCGAGATCAGTGTGACCTTTCTACGTCCAACTCTCGATAGAACCCACAGGCCAACGCCATTTGCGAATGTGCCAGCAACGATGCCACCGATCAGGATCATGAGACTGGTGCTCGACTTCATGCCGATGGTCTGCAAGAAGTAGCTTGACTTGGCAATCAGGTCGAGGCCAAACATCGCTGGGAGCAAGTTGGCCATGATGACAATCATCGTTCGTCGAGTATTGACGCCCTGGAAGCAGGTCAAGTACGTCGCTCCCGATGTAGCCTCCTTCTCTTCCGCAATGCTAGCCCGAACCTTCTCTAGGACCTTCAATGCATCCACTCTAGGTGCGTAGAGTTTGCGTGAGGACTCGAGAGCTCTATCGGACTGCCCGCGTTCTTCGAGATATGCGGGACTTTCGGGGATGATGACCGAGAGGATAAAAGGAACAACTGCGAGAAGCCATTGGGAGCCAAAGGCGACGAGGTATCCGGTCCTGTTAGGTGCTTTGTTGACGAGGAAGACGACAATCGATCCCAGCAGTTGACCCAAGAGATTTCCCGTCGGCACCAAGCCCATGACCGAGGCGCGCAGAGATGTCGGCGCTGTCTCGGAGATGTACGTCATTGCGGTGACTTTGAGTATTCCAATGGCAATTCCTTGAACCGTCTTGCCGGCGAAGAAGAGGGCTCGCATGGTCTCGATATCCGCGGGGAGGTAAGAGAAGAAAATGCCTGCGACGCCAACAGCGCAAATGATAGCACCTGTCCGTAAGCTCCAAATGCGCCCGATGCGATCCTGATACCATCCTGCAAAGACGGAGCCGATGGCCATGCCGAGGGGAATCGCGGCCGACCATAGCGACACCCAGAGTGATGGAATGATCCATTTGTCATTGTAAAGTTCTCCATAATCGTGCTGGAAGGGCTCGACGGCGACGATGGAGCCGACAATCACCAACGCGTAACCCCATCCGATGACGACGATTGTCAGGGACAGGCAGTACGCTACGACCTTGGGGTACTGGCGAATGGCCTGGCCCAGAGGCAGGTCCTTTTCCTCCTCTGGCACATTGGTGACAGACGTGGTGCTGATTGACTTCATGAGAGGGTTCGTTGACTCGTCTCGGACGCGACTGGTTTCGCCTGGCGCAAGATCTCGTTCTCGTCCGCCCCTCGTCTCTGTTATGTAGGACGGAGAGGGCGACTCCGTCAACTCGATGTTGTTGGTCGTGATCGACCCCCTGTCGCCAGGGCTGATCTTATCGTGAAAGGGGTTCATCGCTTAGCAAATATTTGCCAAAACTTTAAACGAGCGAATGGGGTAGACAGAATTAGGTATAGCTCCGCGCAGAGTGAAATGAGATTTGACAATGATTTCCTGTGTGTTCCCCCGGCAGTTATTTGCGCAGCTTTCTAGAGTATGATTGTGCGTTGGTCGGCGAGAACAATGGTAAGAGGTGGTGTGATGCCTTTCCATTCGGGATTCCAGTCTTGTGATTTGAACAGACTGGGAGCTTTTAAAGAACCCAGAATTCCTTCTTTACGCTAACATGTCCATCTTTAACGTGTGCAATCTGGCAAACGACTCTCAACGAACATTTGCGGTGGCATTGCTGTGAAGGATTGAAGACTAGGAGATGCCATGGCGCAGCAACACGGGTCAGCGACGTTGAAGTCCCCAACGGATTCAACTACGATCGCCAAGCTGGAGTTGACGACGCTCTTGACTCTTCCAGCTAGCACGTAGAAACTCAGATCCTTCGACTGATAGTGGTCCAGATATCCAAGTACCCCCATTCAGTCGTCGTCCGCATAAGAAAATAAGCATTGTGGCATTCTAAGACGATGCGGGGGCGTGCGACAGCGCGGCGCAGCAACTGGCACGTTCCTCTGCCGCTGCCATGTTGGACCATCGCCGCTCGCGCAATGTGCACTTCTTCCGACGGGTACGGGAACGGGAACGGACTAGAATCTTAGATCCAACTTCCAAGGCCCACATGTTTGCTAGCTGCCGTTATTCTTCGATCCTTCTAGGCTCGAGCCAACGGTGTTACTCTGATTGGAAGCTCAGTATGCGCCAATCTGCACCACCAGCCCCCTACGGACACGGATACGGGGAGCCCGTCTAAGCCACATACATATTGACTACGGTCCCAAACGTACGCGAACACACTTGATCAGAATGATGCACCGAGACAAATGCGTCGTAATCCTATCTTTCACTCATATGCCCGTAGGAAATTGGATATGATCCGCTGGCATTGACGGAGAATATCGATAATCCCGGATCACCGAAGACTCAGAGGATTGGAACAGGATTCAACGACTTGGTCGACGAGATTCCATGCCTCTATTCGACTGAGACCTGATTTAAGAGCTGGTCTTAGGATCATCAAGGATCGTTCTCTTGTCTAAGAGAGAATCCCGTATCAAAAACACCCATACATCTCAATTCTTCATGTCGATTTTGTTGAAGCACCGAACAAACACCACACCCTCAGCATGAGTTCTGTTCTCGAAGAGTCTGCAAGCATGGGCCCACACCCTCTCTGCTACATCGTTACACCAGTTGGGTGCATGGGGTATGGCCTTGACGAGGACGCTTGCGGCAAGGAACTCGCACAACTCGTTCCCAGCGGCGTTCCAACGGCTATTATCCTAGACGCCGGATCAACTGATAGTGGCCCCGAGAAACTGGCACTTGGCACCATGACTTGCCCTCGTTCAGCCTATGTCAGAGACTTGACCAAGTTGCTAAAGCTCGTACATGACTTTCGGGTTCCATTGGTCTTCGGCTCTGCCGGAGGAGATGGCTCCGACGAACATGTGAAGTTGATGGAAGAAATCATTGAAGAGATTTGTGCAGAAGATAGCAACTCGTAAGTCCTGCCTTACCCAAAGCTACATTCCTTGGCTAATGGAACAAGGCAATACTCGTTCAAAACTGTTTCAATATTTTCTAGTATCGACAAATCCGTCATTCTCGAACGACTCAATGTTGGGGGGATCTCCGGCTGTGGCGTCTGTGTGCCCCCATTAAAGTCCAAAGATGTCAAAGATTCAACTCGCGTTGTGGCACAAATAGGCCCCGAGGCGTTCGTCGATGCCATGGAAGCCACACCCGACTTCGATATCATCATCGGCGGAAGGGCATACGATCCCGCTCCTTATGTTGCATACTCCATGTACCAGCTCAAACGTCAGAACCCAGGCATCACTCACGACCAAATTGAGTCAATACATGGCGGCTTTCTGCACATGGGCAAGATCATGGAATGTGGCGGGCTTTGTTCAACACCCAAGTCCCACGGCGCTGTTGCCACCGTCTACGAAAGTGGCATGTTCGACGTCAGACCAATCGCGCCCGGTTCACGTTGCACGCCACTGTCAGTAGCCGCGCATTCATTGTATGAGAATACGAGGCCTGACATCCTGCGAGGGCCCGGAGGTGCTCTTCATCTCGACCAGGCACACTATGAGCAGCTCAGCGATCAGCGTACCGTCCGAGCACGTGGGGCGCGCTTTGTTTCGTCAATCGCAGATGGCAAACCATATCAGTTCAAGCTAGAAGCCGCACGCGTTCTTGGCTATCGATCCATTGTTCTTGGGAGTGTCAAAGATCGTAAGTTGGCGTTGGTCTTAGAAGAGTTGTTGCCCATATTCAACAGGCTTGCAGGACTGACAATGCGCAGATATACTCATTGAGCAATTGGACGACTTGCTCATTCTTGTCAAAGCCTACGTCAAGCAGCAACATAAAAATGTGTCCGGTGACTGGGATCTAGACTTCCACACTTATGGCAAAGGGCAGAGCACGCCCAGTGGTCCCGGGGAGATATTCATCGTCGCGGAAGCAATTGCCCCGACACAAGAACTTGCGACAGGTCTCGTATCGACAGCGCGAATTGCATTGATTGTAAGGATGACTCTATCACATAGTCCCAATACTTTCTAACAGCAATGTAGCATGGGCCATATGCGGGCCAAAAGGCTACGTCCGGCAACTTCGCTTTTGGGATTGCTGGGAAATTAGAGATTGAGACCGGCCCATGTGCCCAGTTCTCGATATACCATCTCATCGATCTCAAGCCGGGCGAAGAAAGGCTCTCAATTACATCAGAGAACCAGAAGAACAGAAGCCTCCTCCGCTCTTCAGTCTCCATATTTGGAAACGGTCAGGGAACAAGAAGTAATCAGCCTCTCCCGACGGACTTTGAGTCTCAGTCGACAGGCGGGCCGGATACAAATGGCGAGAAAGCCCACGCGAGCCCGCGGAACTCTCCTTCGAGTCCAAAGAGCATTGCAGGTCACCCGAGAACCCTTTCGGACATCTCCCGAGTCCTTCGTTCGAAGAACGCGGGACCTTACGAGATTACAATGGACGTCATCTTCGAGTCCGAGTGCACCTTCAGAGCGATTCGAGAGTCGGGAATACTACATCCTGTCAATGTCGCCGAGGCTGTTGGCATTTCTGAGAGCGACATTGTTTGGACTGGGTTCTTTGAACCGGCTCTGGCATTCAAGGTAACGATACCTCGGTTCAGAGGGGGAAAGAGAGCTTCAGCCGGCAGCTTTATGGAGAACGATATTCATGGGTCGCAACAACACTTGGGACTATCAGTATTGAAGCTGCCAGCAAACTTCGCAGTCGAGGAGAACTGAATTGATAAGGTTGTATTTGAAGTACGTAGAACAGGTTTTTGCATGCATATAGACATAGAACACTAGGACATAATACATGAAGACTTATGTGGTCTATCGTGACCATGCTTCGGAATATGACGTTCCAGCGCGCAGCATATGGAGTGAGCATGAGGCCCAAAGCACTCTGGCCCAAGATCAATTATCCTCGCTTTCCGATTTGCCCATCCCTCTCCATAATTCGCCGTCGCATGGTAAATGCAGTAGACACGGCTTCGATCATGTGGATTTGGCAAGAAACTTGCGTGCCCCGGCCCGTACGGACCTCCGCAGCGCTTGTGACTGACCATAAGCGGTGTCGATCGCTTCGCCCATGCGCCTGGATCTAGAGGGTTCTGTCCTACGAGCGGCAGCAGGCCGAGCTTGTAGTCGCTAGTCCAGCTTCCGTCGGCAGAGTACACAATGCCTCTGAAGACACCAGGAATATCAACCCATGTCGGGCCCTCGTTAACGCCCCGGCGGCCCTCATCAGGACGTTCCCATGAGAGCTCAGCCCTCGAAATACAAAGGAGTGTGTCGGTAATGGCTTCTTCCGGGACACGAAGCTTAATCAAGAACAGGTCTTGCTGCGTGTCAGAATGATCTCCAAGAGGCCATCCGGACCAGCAGCAGTATAAATCGTGTCCATTGGGACTAAAGACTGTGGCGTCGATGGACCAGTGGTCCGGCATACCCTTCAGCGGACCTAGAAACTCCCATGCGGAGGCGTCCATCGGATCCTGGGACGACGATCGGAGGACCGTAGTCCGATGGCCCGGGTTCCCGACCCCGGGCGGCGCGCCACAGGTGTAGATATACCACCGGCCCTTGAGGTAGTGCAGTTCTGGTGCCCAAATGTTGACTGACCATGGAGTCCCCGGCGCCGGCTGCCAAACGACACTCTTGTGGCAGTGGTGAAAGTTCTCGAGGGTATTAGAGCACCATATTTCGACGCGGTTGTCCAGGGTAAAGGTGAAGTAGAATTTGCCATTGCCGGCCACAATCCAAGGGTCCGGCGTGTCGACATCGCAAATGGTTCGGTTAGACATGTTTTTCAAGCTTTTCGAATGGATTGCCAAGTTGATCAAGGGACTGTCTCAAGTGATGAGGTTCTTTGAGGTGTTTTCAAGCTTATTTGTGGCGTGTTCAGAGAAATCAGACTCAACGGCTCAAAAGGCTGAAGCGCTGAAGACGCAGCGGTGCTTGGGCTGCGGGAACGTCACTTGTGTTTCAGCCAAAGTCATCTGATGTTGCGGCCTTGGAGTTGGAGATCAGCAGGGACAAGGTGAGTAATCCTAGTACTTGCGTCATTTCTCCGCATTATCTGCCCCGGGTTGATCAGCAAACTCAAGCAACCAGATGCTTGGAAAGCTTGGATGGGTTGAGTTCTAGTAGAGGAGATTTCTTTCTGGTTTGACATGTGCAAGTCAATGCGGAGAGCCTGGTTATGTGTTAAGAAAAGCAAGCAGCTTTTTTTGCAGCACAAAGACACTGGTGAAAGCATTCCATCACAGATCTCGGCACTTCAAGACACGAGTCATGACGGGAACGCCGCTCTCGGGCAAGTCGGGTATGTCTGACCATGGACTCAGAAGGCATGTTCAATGAAATGTTTACTGTCTAAAGTTGTACCTATGTCAATTGGAAGCTGTCATGGTGCATCCAATAATTCACCAGAGAGTCAATAGTCATCATTTCTTCAATCCCACGTCAGACCACAAACCCGTTGGTGCCCTCGGCGGGGAACATTTCCATGTATATGGTCAGGCTTCATTGCCGCATTATCGGTTTGAGAATAATATGCTTGGTTGGATTCGGAGAACTCTGGAAACTTTGTCAGCGGTTCAGAAGAGACGCCGAGAATTATCGAATTCCGGAGTGGAGGCACAGGAAGGAGAGGCACATACGTATTGGCCATAGTGAACATCTCGATATCTCTCAGTCTCCCTTTCCTCAGGATTGATCTGGTAATAAGCCAAGAGCCACTCAGGATCTAGGGAGCTCCTCGCAAGCCCCTGCTCTGACGCCTGCACACATTGTTCAAAAAGAGGTGCGAATAATACTGAGGCTTGCTTAAGTTGCGCGTTGGCTTGACGGACGTCCTTCGAAAAGGCGGCAGATATTCGGGCCAATAGGGGTCGTTGGGCCTTCAGTGCTTTCATTACGGATATTAATGTTGCAGAGTACTTTACAAAGATATCGACCACCTCGGGCTTGAAACTATTCCCCAGAATGACCTTCCAAATGACGTTCGAGTAAATGAGTAGGATTTGCGGTTGCATGATGAACATTAGGAAGACTCTTGATATGAGAGGTACCAGGCGGATGATGGGGAAGGTAAATGAGTGAGAAGCCTACCAGCTTTTGAACCCCCGGATGGCGGACCGAAAACACTGCATATACCCTCATTCAACGCGGTGGATATGACATCGAGATAACGATCTTTAGTTGTAGGCTATCGTTAGTTTACAGCAACCGCAATCGCAAAAAGTAAGTAGTACGAGACGCACCAAATCCGGACATGCGCGAGGCAACGTAGCGGTAGGAAAAGGGCTCCTCGAATGGTGCGCCGTTTGAATGCACAAGAAGAACTGGACAATTTTAGCTACAATCACTCGACGGTCGCGCCTTCGTGCACAAACCTCCTTACGAGCGGGCGCCATCTCCTCGTCGGTCTTCTTGGACAATGCGAGCTAATGTTCTGGCGCAATCAGAACCAAATCGGAACCATCGAGAGCCGTCACTCGAAATACACCGCTCTTCACCTAGTTGAAGCCCTTCTCAATGATATCAACGCCATTAGCGGCGAAGTCCTCTCTGTTGGCGAACCAGGATCCTGAGCTGGCGATTCTGGGCTTTGGTTTTTCCGCAGTGGCCCGGTCCATAACCATCGGGAGGATTGTGACGAGAACCACCACAACAGCCAATGCTGAAAAAGGGGTCAGCAGGCTAGCTAGTTGCGAGAACCAGTGCAGTGGGAGAGTGGTATATTCCATTTCGACAAAGACCTCTTCAATACGACGATTCCAAGAATACGACTTGGGAAAGAGCCGAAGTGCTGGCTGGTGTGCTGGGCGAAGGAGAAATGGTGGAGCGAGAGGCCAGTTGCCGCAAGATGTTTTAGTCTGATTCTCACATTCGCGCAAAACACAGATAAATAAGTGAACGGAAGGTAGACACACAAAAGCCCGGGCAATTAGCTTTGCCGCTGCCTACAGCTTGTGTACACCTCTCCACGGAGCTGTGAGTAGCCGAACGTGAAAGTGTGGGATGGGAAGTATAAGCATTTCAGGCAAAGTATGGCGGACCGTCCAGTGTGAAATTCTATCCATCCATGTCTGGCGGCTAATACTCCCCGGATTCGTCGTAAACCTCCGTGCTCGTATCCGAGGCGGATCGTCTGACCACGTTGGTCTAAAGTCATTCGAACGAAGATTTTGGAGCTCGAGCTTGCAACAATTTGCTTCAAGGGACTACAAGCTTAGGATGGTGGTGTATCTACCACAAAATTATCCAACTTAGTAACTTCTTCAATTCTTCGAGGCAAAACTTCGATGTTCAACCATTGTTAAGTGCCACACTACTTGAAATGGGTGGCGCCTGGTGTCCCAGGCATCAATAGGGCAATGTACGTGCCTGAGAGGTGACTTTTTCCGTCTAAGGACGACACGAGAGACATTTTTGATCCGAAGTATATGCACTTTCGAATGCTGGTGGTGCTTGTGCGGTAGAATTTCCAACTAGAAAAGCTTTCATAGAAACTCAACACGAAGGGGGCTTACGACAAGTTGACGTGGGATCCGCACGATTGTTTCGTTCGTTTGCCAGCTTCGCCTTTATGAGCAATGATTGTATCACCGCTCGCATAGCAATGAGGGACTTCGATGGCCTCGCGATGAGCGAACAAGCACTTCAGATGGCATCTGTTGCATTTGATGAGGTGAATTATTTGCGCACTCCTGATGTCGGGGACAATGATTGTGGCGACATCGCTAGTGAAAGTTCAAAAGATAGATCATGGAACTGCGTTTTGGTCTATTTATAGCCAAAAGGACGTGATAATAAACACTATGGTATCGTTGCTTTAGTCTTCCTCTACCCCATATAATATTGCTTACGAGCATGCAGCGACGCTCCAAGTCATGTGTCAATCTTTTACAATGGCACAAAGGCAATTGATGTTGGGGCCCGTTCAAAGCCCGTTGCTTGCACAGCCAAAAGGCTTGCCGACGGTGCCCGCTCTAAACTCTTCAATGATGCCTTCAACACTGGCGTATGTGCCGGCAGTGAGGAACAAAAGACCGGTGAGAATAATGATGATGTTGAGACCCATCGTCGTAAGATCGGCAAGTTTTCCCGGCTTGGGGACACCGGCGCGATTATCGGCACCTCGCATGCGGAAGTAGGCGACGCCCCAGAAGATGAAGCCGAAGAATGAATCGAACAGAGAGGACATGAGGGAAAGCACTGAATCTAGTTAGCGAAAACTCTGGATCATTGGCCGAGAGAAACTTACGGGAAGAGAAGAAGGGGATAAGTTCGGCAATTAGGAACGCCAAAAGCCACAAGGCAAGAAGAATGGTGGCCCAAGAACCCCAGCCGACAATGGTGTGCTCGTGCAAATGCTTGGTGCCCTTGAAGAGACGGAAGAAGAGGAATCTAGCCGAAACGCTGGCATACAAGACGCCGAGGAAGACGAGAGTCGGGATCATGAAGGAGAATGACACCTTCTTATAGACTTCCTCGAGGGAGCCGAAGGCGGGAGCCGTCATGTATTGGTTTCCGACGAAGGCGTAGACGACAGCTCCGACAATGCTGAAGACGATGATCTCACCAATGGTCACGGCCCAGAGAGCCTTGGGGAAATCCCTATACTTGGCTTAGCATACATGCTAACAAAGAGTATGACTGTAGACTTACCTAGGATCCTTCATTTCCGCAATGAAACTGGGCAACGTGATTTGGCCGATGAAAGTATAGCTGATGTTCAGGAAAGCATTCATTCCAGAAACAAAAGTCGTGGCAGCAATGGGGATGGCCGTGACAATCGGGGCGCCGCCAGTCTTTGTTGTGCCTGTGGTCTCATCGACATACGTTGATCGGGGGTCGTAGCCGGCGGGATGCGCCTGAATGCCAGCAAAGATGGTCGCCAGAAGCACTGAGATGAAGGTGAAGGCTGCGGAGGCGGTTCCGGCTTTCGAAAGGGCGTCGAAGGTGCGAGGCAGCGAGCAGAGCCAGCAGATGATGGTGACGACGATGGAGAAGACGACGGTTCTGCAGACGACGGGGTCGGATTCGGTCATTGTGTTGAGGTACTTGGCGCCAACGAGGACGTGTAGAGCTTGGATGAACTACGTACGTAGTGTTAGCAATGCACCCATGTTGTCGACGGGAGTAAGAGGCATACAGTGTTGTTCAAAATGAACATGACAGCCGTAGCGTACCAGGCCCATGTCTTTCCCCAGAAGAGCATCTGGCCGATATCACAGACGTCGCGAACTTCGGGGTGTCTCATGCAGAACTGCCAAAGAACCAAAGATCTACACGGGCAGTCAGTATTATGTCGAGGCGAGCTGGGCGAGGGAGTCGGAACTTACGTGTAGAGCACAACGAGCGCGATGACGGCAGTGAGGATCAATCCGGGCACCAGGCCAAGAATACTATATGACCACGGGAAACTCATGATGGCCTATGTTGGTCAGCACGATCTGCCACGCGCCAAATCTCCCCCAAGACGGAAACTCACCAAACAAATGTACTCGGAAAACAGCAGGCCGGCCGTCTTCTGCCAGCTGCACGTCCTGTACTTGATCGCATGGCTATTCTCCTCGGCAAGCTGCTTGGTCAAGATGGCATCGGCGCTGTCCTCGCTGTCGGAGCCCTCTCCGACACCCTCCTTGCGAGGCGCAATCCGCGGGCCGACCTTTGTGTTGCGGCCGCCGAACCAGGCGCTGAAGCCGGAGGAGCCTCCTGTCTCGGCATCGGCGCGGGCAAAAGCGAGCTCAGAGGAGCCCTTGTCGTTGGACGTGGGCTCGGGTTGGCGTAGATCTTTATCCATGGCGCGCCAATTGAGTCGCGGCGATGCGCCGGGTGACACTGGGAGATGGAGGGGTAGAGGCGACGGGGTTTCGCAATGCGGGTGGGTGATGATATCGATGGCAATGGCGCAGTGGTATACTGGTATGAAGATACGGTGGGACGGATCACAGACGCTCAAGTGGCAGTTCGGCGGATGGAGAAGAAGAGAAGAGACGGAGGTGTAGAAGAGGAGGAGGGACGAGGACAAGAGGGAGGTAGAGTTCAGAACAGTCTCCAGGCACAGGATGACGGAGAGAATGCGCGAGCACGTGGGACGTGCGAGTTTAAGGGTACGAGAAGAAGGAGGGAGAGGCAAAGAGCTACGGGCTACTTGTGAAGAGGAAAAAGATCAGCTTAGCCAGGCGTCAGCAGTATGATCCCGGCAGTTGGGAAGAGAGATGCGACATGGCAAGGTGACATGGGAAGTTGGGAACGGCCGAAGAAGGGCTGGAGCCACGGACGCGGGTTCCTTGCGAGCCAGGAGTGTAAACTGGGCCGGAGGAGGGAGCGATGGGAGGAACTCGTTGCATGCGACTTGCAGGAGACTGCAGTAGGCAGATCGAGTATGCGCAGACAACAGCAACTGGGAAAGGTGTGCGGATGGTGTTATCCCTAGAGAGCGTGAGAGCGTGAGAGAGCAAAGGGATTTCGCCTTGTCAAAGATGATGGCGATACCTCAAGAGGCACCACAGAACAGGCTTATTGCCATGTCACTTTGGCCAGTCGTTCGACACATTTCGACCATGGCAAAGTTGCTTGAAAGCGTCCGCCACAGATTACGATACCCGCCAGCGGACATCCTCCAGTCAGAAACCAGCCAATGCAGCCAGGAAATGTGAAAGCATGCAGAGGGGAGCAAGGGGAGGAGAAGGGTCTCCCCCCGTGCGTGGGTGGAACTCGAGTTCCGCCCCGGTCAGAGATTTCAGAGCCTCTCAAAGTTGTCGAGGACCAAAGGCGTCAAAAGGGGATCACAATCCGGCCCAGGCTCGCGGAGCACGTCATTGCAAGATATGGGGAAGACGTCCAGCTACAGGCGGCGCTTCTCTCAAAGGGGAACTGGATCGCGGATGGCTTCGCGGCTCGGAAAGACTGTTGGAGCCTTGGAGGTACTTAGCCGTGCTAGATTAGTATTGCCTACCTTGCCAGTATCTGCAGTAGGGTACCCATAAAGAGGCGAACTTGTTGTTGCTGTCCCCGTCGAGATGTCGTTCAAGAGATGACATTGGACACTTGGAGACCAATCTAAACCCTCTAGCGGGTCGAGTAGAACGAACGTTTCTTACGACCGCGGCGCCGCCGGGCACCGGTGCAGTTCTTGCGAGAGAGACTCAATGTCGTTGAAGAGCCAATTGAGTTCCCGGGGGCGACACCAGCGATCGACAAGAGACAAGCAAAAATGCCAAAAAGGACAAGCAACGACAAGCATCGGAAGATGCGCCACCAGAAAAGCTTGCTCGAGCTAGTGACGTCGTCCCCGGTCAGCCCCCCCGCCAGTCCCCCCTCCAGTCCTGATGAAGTGACGCTGCCCCCGTTCACAGATTAACAGACTAGTAGGGCTTGTTGGTGGGTGCGAGTTGGCTCGGAGGATTTGTGCCAGCGCCAAGCAGCGAGCGGCCCTCTGAGCGGGAAACAAAAAGTCCAAGAGATTGTCAAGAGATGGCCAAGAGATGAGGCACTTGCACGGCACGCGGAAACACCAAGCTTGGCAGGGCGAGGAATGACGAGTGAGACGAATGTCTGGCTGATGATCTGAGATTGAGACTCTCATCAACAGTCACCCTTCTGTTTGTTTTCTGTGAGACCAACACATTGAGTTATGGTCGAATAAACCTTCAACATCGACACTGAGCAACCAACCAGTCCATGTTTACTCACTCGATCCGAGTCAGAGCTTTGAGGCGTGGAGAGCACTGAAAGTTTGGCCTCGAAACTGGGGGACGCCCAGACGCTCACACCTCCAGAGCAGAGTCCAAGGCTCCAACGGTGGTGTCCCCCGCCGTCCCTCTGGTTCTGCATTAGCTCGTCAGCATTCCCAGGATGCTGCATGCAACGAGCAGGGTGGGCGGGAGGTGGTGGCACCGTCGGGCCACATCCGTGCCGTCCTCGACGTTTGCTGGACACCTGGAGCAACCTGTACATACACGTTGTATCAGTCTACCGCCAGTGTGTGCTGCCTGCCTGTAATCTTGGTTATGAGACTTAAAGACCGTTCATTGTATGTATCCGTACTCCGTAGGTGCAGTAATGATCAAGAGTCTACAAGAGTAAATCACTTTCGGCAACTTGATCAAGAGCCAATGAGCCCGAGTTTTCAACCAAGAAGAGAACCACAATGACACATGGAAACTGTAGCAGCGTGGGATGCTCACAGTTTGTGTTCCTTTTGATCTTACAGTCATAGTCCCCGTAATTGAACCTTGTCTTCAGCTGAAGTTGGGATACGGCTGCCACCCGCCCAGGAACCGTGGAGGCCATGGGTCGAGGTCTGAAATTGCGCCATCGGCTTTTGAAATTGCATCAACCTGCAGAGCAAACGTAAAAACATACACAGTAAAAACGTAAAACTCCAACATCTAAGGAGTACTCCGCTTGTATTCGTGAGTCTTTCCTTGGTGACCCGAACCGGCGGAATCCCGACCGGTCGAGGCCCGCGGGCAGCTGCCGAAATGCAGGGTTCTGTTATTGCCCCGAAGTCTGGTTGCAGTCTGCTATACTATTGTGATACTGATTTAAATGCTATACGAGATTCGAATGCGATGAAAGATTCCCTTGCGCCGTCCGCCATGCAATGCGTGCAGATAAAAGGGCTTAGGCCCAGCATCATCACCACTGAGGCACTCCAAAGGTAGTCCTGTGCAAGTCTGGTCAACCCGCCAGACTCAAACAGTCGTCTCGTCCCAGTCAACCCATCTCCGAATCACATCGTCCACCGCGCCGATGCCCTTCTTGGATGTCTGCACCTCAAACCACTCGCGGTGCACCGAAGTGCATCCGGCACACGTTATGGGCCCGGCATGCAGTCCCATGCCCGACAGCTCAATGTGGATGAGCCGCTCGACGCGGTGCACATGCGGCGTCATGCGCGGTTGCTGTCCCGATGCCGCGCTCGCTCCCGGTATATACGGGTAGTACCGCAGTACCTCGATCTCGTAGGAACACTGCTTTGTCCACTGTTGCATCCTGCGCTGGACGTTCTGCGCCCGTCCAATCTTGATGAGCATCTTATTGTCGCCCGATGCGCCGCCGTTGGCGTTTGCAAAGGCCGATACCACGTCGCTAGACCGTCGGTTGCGTCCCACGCCCCGGGCTGGCGAAGGCGGTGCAAGCAGCGATCTCGCTTCCTGCACAGGGGCCGCCTCCTTTTTGGAAGTCGGGGTGATCCAAAACATGTAGATGTAGCCCGCTTCTTCAGAGCTGCCGTACGGCCTCGCCAACTCCGCCATGAGCGCCGATGCTGTCTGGGGGTCGGTCGATGGGGGGATGAGTGATAGGTACTGCGCTGTCTGGGACGTCGAGAGCGGCTGAGGGGACGCCTGCTGGGAGCTCTTCCGGGAGTGGCTCGACGTGCTCGGTCGCGGGCGCGAATTCGAAGGGGCCAGGAGCTGGCTCGAGGGCCGGGGCATGGCTGCGGAGCCGCCGTGCTGCACCGGTCGCGGCTGGGGCCGAGGGGCGGGCTGGGATTCCTGGACTTCGTCGATGGGGATGCTGAAGCAGCAGCAGAGGTGTAATTCCTTGCGCTCCTTTTGCGGCGGACGTGTATATGCCGAGGGCGGCTTCGAGGCGCTCGTGGTTTGTGTCCCACTACCGCCACTGAGCCGTCCTCCATGAGGCCGTTTCTGTTTCTTGGTTGGGTTGGAGCCTACGTCCACCAGGCCAAGCCGGTCCGCGAGAGTGTCGATGCTCGTTCGCTCTTCCAAGATGGGTCTGCCGGACAGTCTAGGGCCGGGACTCGACTGTGCAGAACGACTTGCAGCCTGGTCTTTGTGGTGGTGGCAGTAGAGCGACTCCTCCTTGGCCGTTGGCGAAAGCATCTTGCCCCTCGCGGGCGTGACTGAGTTGCGGCATAGGTTTCCTGCGCCCGTGAGGCCCTTGCACGTTGTCTTTGGATTCTTCGAGTCTGATCGCTCGAGGCGCTCCTCGGGCGTGTTTGCAATGTATCCCATTGTTTCCTCCCTTCGAGTTGAACAATGGATTTGTTCGTCGTCGTTGTTTCCTTCTTAATTCAAAGTTCGTGAATGTCTTCGTCTATAGTAGCCGGAGCGCCAAGGAAGATGCGAAGGATGGAAAGCTCAAATGCGATAGCGGCAGCGGGTAAAGGTCGCGTCAAAAAGAAGGTAAAGACTTGCCAAGAGTCGACCAGGAGAAAGGCAAGAAAAAGAACAGTGTGACGACACTTTGAAGGGGATTCACGACATTTGCTGTTATGCGTGTGCGTGAATCAGGGCCACGTCCAAGATGGCCTCGCAAGTGACGACCTGCAGCCCAAACCAGCATCAAGAACGAGAACAAGAACTTGGATAAACAACGAAGACACCCTGGTCTGGCCGACGATGGGTCATCTTGACTGAGAGCCTCTGAGGTCACGAGGTGGGCGCGGACTCGACGTGACTGGGGAGATGACTGGAGGAGGTTGGGTCTCGACGGGGTCTGTACGGGGTCAGAGACCAGGGCAAAGAACCTGCTGAGCCTCTTTTTTCCCCTTGCTGCCGAGACGGACTGAGAGCTCGCTGCCTTGCGATGCGGTGTGCGGTGTGCGGGCGCGCTTCGTGTTGGTGCGTGTGGTGGAGAGCTGCAGGAGCTTTGGGCGCGAATGCGCGGTGAGTGGCTGATGTGCACCGCCTTAGTTGAGCCACAGTCGGAGCATCGGAATCGCCGACATCCTCAGCCACACTTGAACCTCTGAATGTCCACTCAACACCAAAAAATGCATCACCAAACCACTTCTTCTGCCTCACCTTCGCCATGACTTTGGGAACCTCGATATGGCTCGAAAAAAGACTTGACGAGGGTCTTCGATTCTACGAGTCGTTCGAACCTCTTTGTGGCCCAGATTCAGCCCTCTCCCTCTGCTCTGCGAGATCTCAACAACGCCTCCACAGCAGGGTAAGGTAGCCCGACACATCAGTCGGTACAGCTACCAGCCAATCTTTCTTGCAACAGCGATCGATAACAACAAGTCAAGCCTTTTTCTCATTTGATCAGAACCCCTAGGTCCGGTGACGTGACAAACCCAGACCCGCTGGCGTCACTAGCAGGGAGGATGGCCATGGCCAACCTGGAGTCTTCGATGAAGTTGATGACGAACCAGCGACAGCGAGACTAGAACATGGGAACCCATTTGCGCACCCATGTTTATCCAAGTTCCAACATGCACCACTATCGCTAGCCAGGGTCAACATTGGCATCCGTATCCGGACACCTCCAAGGCCGGGATGGGCCACCATCTCCACACCGCATATTGCGTCCCTCACCTGTCGAGCTGCTCCGATCAAGACACCAACAGACCCGGCGAGTGCCCACCTTTGGCCGTTGCAAACAAATTCGGCAGTGGTCCATCGCGAATCGAGTGACTGCCGCGTGTCTGTGGCCACATGGGGCAGAACGGCGAGCTGAAAACCGAACAATCGACGGCGGGCGGACCCATCAGCGCGCCGAAGACGTGCATAGTATGCCGGGCATCTTGCGTCCGACCCGGATGCACAATCATACCACACGGACGGCGGTAAAATTCCTTGCCAGGCCTAACTTGTCCGCACTCAGAAGACACCTTGAAGTTCATCAACCCGATGGACAGAGCTGCAATATTCACCTTGCCCATCCACTCCGTAGTGGCAGATCATCACGCAGATCACACATCTGCCATGTTGCTCGGCCCCAACTACTACAGAAACGGCCATTAACGAGAGAACATCCAATGTCCATCGCAACGTCAAATGTCCTCATCGCCTTGTCTCAGTGCTTCAGAAGCCCATCTGCAAGCTCAGGACGGACCAGAACCAGGCTGTGGGCGCCAGACGCTGCCCCTGAGGCCGGCAATCTCGGGGACTCAAGCGCGGTGGACAAAATCACACCACAAACAGACCACCGGGAAGTGGGTCGCCCGGGGATGGAGAATGGATCTTCTGTGCCTCTCTGCAGCTGGAAACACACGGCTCCGGGCCATTCACCAAGAGCAGGCGATGAGAAGCTGTCACCAGATTCGCCAATCTCATCAGCTTCACAATGAGCCAATGGCAACGGTCGTCGAGGCGCAACTCATCCATTTCGTATTCGGATCTGTGGATTCATGTTAAAATTCTCCAGTGTCTCTAAGAGGAACGGGCACAGCAAAACATGCAAGTTATCGTACCACGCCTGAGCGGATGCCGGTGAATTTTTATCGTCCCATCGGCGTCTGGACCCCTGCGCCGCCCTTCGAGAAGAACCATCCATTTCCAAAGCCCGTTCAACGCCAACAGTCTCCACCAAACGCGGATGTTTATTAATTCAACTTGGCCCCTTTCGCAATTCTGCCAGATTCTCATATTTGCTCTGGTTGCTGCCGTTGCATCTCGAGAGTCGCACATCACCTTGCTTTAGTTCGTCTCTCCTGCATTGGGGTGTGTTTGATACCATGGCGTCCTGGTAAGCCAACCGCAACTTCTCACCTACCTCACAAGTAGACCATCCGCTTACACACAACGCTCTCATAGGAATTCTACCGTCGTGTTTCCCAACCAGACATCTACCACAACCTACCTCGGCGTACTCGACGATGTGAATAAGTACAACGTCCAGCTCAACGCCATTGAGCGCCTATGGGCGGCGTGGTACCTGTGGATGCAGAACGACATCCTCGCCACTGGCATCATGACCTTTGTCATGCACGAGGTCGTCTACTTTGGTCGCAGTCTGCCATGGATCATTATCGACGCCATTCCCTACTTCCGCAGGTGGAAGATTCAACAGGCACGTCACTCCACATCCGCCATGTCTAATGCATTCGGCAGGATCCCAGACATGAACGACTACTACCCGTACCAGCCACTAACCTTGAGCAGCAAAAAATCCCAACTTGGAGAGAGCAATTTGAATGCGGCGCCCTAGTTCTCTTCAGTCACTTCACCGTCGAGCTTCCGCAAATTTGGCTCTTCCACCCCATCGCCACCTGGTGCGGTCTCGACTACGGCGTGCCCTTTCCCGCCTGGTGGAAGATGGCCTACCAGATCGCAATCTTCTTCGTCCTCGAGGACACTTGGCACTACTGGATGCACCGCGGTGCCCACTGGCCTCCCCTGTATAAGGCCGTCCACAAGATGCACCACTACTACTCGGCCCCCTTTGGCATGACGGCCGAGTACGCCTCCCCGATTGAGGTCATGTTCCTTGGTCTCGGCACCGTTGGGTCCCCCGTTCTATGGGTCCTCATCACAAAGGACCTGCACCTCTTTACCATGTACATGTGGATTGTCCTCCGCCTGTTCCAAGCCATCGACTCGCATTCCGGTTACGATTTCCCCTGGTCTCTGAGGCACTTCCTCCCCTTCTGGGCCGGTGCCGAGCACCACGACGTGCACCATGAGAAATTCATTGGCAACTACGCGTCTAGCTTCCGGTGGTGGGACTACCTCATGGATACCGAAGCCGGCGCAGAAGCCCACCAGCGTAGACGGGAGAAAAAGTTGGACAAGGCCAAGAAGGCGCAGTAAAGAGATTGAGTTCGATCCTCTCGCAAAAGTGTTGTTTCCGACTTCTGTCTCTCCGCTAGAGGGGATCAACATTCGCTGGAATCTTGAAGTGACAAAGTCGTCGCGAAAGACTTTCCGGCTATGCATTCCTTTTCTTTTAACGGCCGACACGACGACTTCTGTATGATAAATTGTAATAACCTAGACTTACCAACTAATGCGCCAATCGCTACCTGTCAATACACCATTGCTGTACATACAGAACACTGTGCTCTTGGTTTCTTTGAGTTTCGATGTCATATTAACTTGAAGCTGTCGCCAGACAAGCACGTGGGCCGTTCGATGGAGAGATGACTCAGAAGAGTACGCACCGGCAACAGCCCCTCTCCCAACGGCAAAAACAGAGCTATTTCGTGTGACTCGATTGCTAGGTCGAGGTCGTGTCGTACAGGAGGGAGAACAATGCAGCAGTGTTTGATGGAAACAACGGCAAACTGCAGTGCTTTTGGTATTGCAAGCAGGGGCCCGCATACGAGGATGGTGGCATGGCCGTCCCTGAGCAATCGTATTAAAGACTTTGACCTGTGCACAAACTTATTCAAATTTCCTTTGTTCGATCTTCTGGACAAGCTTGACCAATTCTATGACAGTGAACTCGAAGAGAGATAGCAAAACTAAAATTTTCTCCTCCACCACTTTCCGTGGTTTAATGAAATGGCCCGACTGGCTGTGAGCTTTGGCTCCAATTCTCTCGGCGATGATATGGCGCCGTTGGATTCTCAGGTCGATACTAGGGCATTAGCAAGACAGTCTTCCTTGATCTTCTGGTGCCTGACAGACAAATTGAATTCCTGCTCCTTGCATCTCAGTTGTTGATTGCCAAGCATGTGAGCGCGGCAAGGGATTCGTCAGTCGCTTGTTTTCGAGTGCATGTTCCCGAAAATAAACCTTCTTTGTTCTCGTAGTATGCCTGACATGAACCACGGGATTGTTCAGAACCGCTGTGTTCTCTACTTTTCCTGTCCTTCCTCGTGTCAGATGACAAAAGAACGCCGGTAATGCAAGGAGTCGACGCGCCTATGCGGCACGACGCAGCCTCTTGAGGTCGTACCCAGGGGCTAGACGAGTTCGAGGTGACGAGGTTCCAGAAAGCTTGCCTGCTCGCCAAACATCCAAGACGCATGGGAACAATGCGACTTCCCAATCCTACAACACCATCATGTATTCAAAAGACCCGTTATGCCACCCAGATATGACTTGGCGATCCATGCCTCTCTCATCCTCGCGATCTTAGGTGTCTATCAGCAGTTATTGACCATCACACTCGTTCACCAACGTTCACTCGCAAATCGTCATTCAACTCCAAAAAGGATGTCTCGCTACCTCCTCCCAGTTCTGGCAGCTACAGCGGTCCTAGCCAAGACGGACCTCACGGGCTGCACCTCTCTCACATACACCTACCCAGGACCCTCTGGCGACTCCATCAAGACAGTCATCCACTACGTCCCCGAAACCCACGAAATCTGCACCCCGCTCGACTGCGGAGGTACGGACCCGGCGTCCAGCAAGAAAATCCCGGGCTGCCCGGGCTACTCCGGTACCGAGACCATCACCAAGAGCTTCTTCTCCAGCTGCGCAACCGTCAAACCGCCCACAATCACGGTCACCCAGACCCTTGCGACCCACGGGTCGAATAGCGGTGTAGGCAGCACGACGGTGACGGTCACGCCCCCTACCACGACGAGCACCATTATCAAAACCGTTACCACGTCGGTGACGTCGCCATTGTCGTCGCTGACGCCGTCGGTGGTCACGACTAGGACGGGTGTCGCCGGTAGTACCTTGATCACGTCGACGGAGGGTGAGGCTGTGCCGACTGGGACGGGAAGCGGAGCGGAGCCTTCGTCGAGTACGGTTCCGGGGGGGGCGGGGTCGACCGTTCGGGCGGGGATGGCGGCAGTTCTCGGTGTCGCGGCGGCTGTTGTCGTGTTCGCTTGAGAGATACCCATCGCCTCTCATACTTTCATTTAGCAGGGGGGAAATCGTTGTCAGGAATATTGGGTTGGTGGACCTGAGGATTTCGACAATGATGGGGTGGAAGTGTAATTGTTCTGTGCTCAACGCAAACAGTTGGGGCTTTCTCAACTGTCATGACATATACGTTTAAACCATCAAGTATCGAGACGCATATTTGCAAGCTACCCTGGGTCAGTCTGGCCACAGAGAAGAAACAGATTGAACATTTGGCTGCTCTCAGATGCCAAGCTCCCACCTGCAGTGTGAAATGTCCTCGTTTTGACTGTCGGCAAGATTTGTGCGATCTGTGTAAGGTCAGGCATGAATATCCTGTGGGTAGTAATGTGCATAGCTTTCGACGTTTCATGAAGATGGGAATCAAGGAAGAGATTAGTTCAATACGTCGTATGTAGTTTCTCATCCAAAGAGCAAAGAGTCGTATGTCTTCAACAACAACATCTCTCTCTCTCTCTATCTCTCTCTCCCTCTCTCTCTCTTCCTCTCACTTACACACACACACACACACACACAAACAGACGATCTCGACCGAATTTCGGGATGAACGAAAGAGGCACTTACTCTTCTGCTGATATGTGACAGTACCAGAGCCCTTGGCTAGAGCTAGCCCCTGCAGGCAATAATAATTAAAAATCCTATCTTCGGGCACGGCTTCTCTAAGTGGAAGACTTATGGCAGAACTGTGTAGCGCATCGGCCTGTCTTTGTGGTGGCCAGGAGCGAGTCATTGAACGATCTCACACCGCCACTTGAACTCAACCGATCGAGCCTTGTATTCGAAGCAGTGCATATGCATTATTCCCGAGATTTCAATGTTGTTTGCAGGTATTTCTCAATTTCAAAGTGGAGCAAGGCTGCTTCACACGTTCACTTGTTGATTCGGTAACCTCATGTTGCCCGAAACTCCGAACAACCAAGTCCATATTGTAAACCAGGCCTCGGTCATTGCCCATCACGTAGATTTAGTGCCGAAGGAGAAAGTACATGCGTTGGAGGGACGAAAATAGTACAAACTCTTTACCACAGTCATGCGATTAGTACTTGTATTCAGCTCGTGGACCATGTCCAAGTCCTTGCTGATCTTTGATGCAAAAGCTCGAAGCCATGACTTCACCCATTCAATTGTACTCGCATCTACTTATTTCAGGCCAGCCTGAGAGGTTCAACCTTCCTCAGTAACATTGTAAGTATTGGAGAGACTGGATATGAGCACGGGTTGCTTTGCTAATTCCCCGGAATATTGATATATCCCCGAAGGTTTGTGCTTGTTCTGGAACGTTTCCTCATGTATCAGACTCCGTCGCATCTCCATGCCTCAATGTGCTTGTCCCCGCATTCTGCCAAAGTGTTTCCAGCTTCGTAACACATAGCAATACGAGATGAACACTCAGCTTGAATAAGTACAGTCAAGCACTCGACTAGGGATTTTCGCTCCTTGAAAGACCTGCGGGGTTCTGGCACTGCCTCACGCAGCAAACACACTTCGCCTGCGGTGATTCGACAGCTGTTACTTGCATAAGGATCCCTTTTTCTTAGACCTGGCCTAATCAACCTTTTGTCCGCCGGGCTGACGGCTTGGATTCATGCAGGCCTCCAAGCACGTTGCCGAGTGAATTAGACTTTCGGCTTGGTGGAGGGGGCATAAATCACGGATCAGACGAAAAACCGAGACCGTCTCGTCAAAACCCGCCGGCCCGTCCTCCGCCGCCGTGGCAGCGACTGTACCCCACACTGGCCTGGCCCCCGGTTCCCGGCTCCGCCTGGGTTTCACTTCCTGGGTTGAAGCATTCACGATACGGCATACACGCGGTTTGTTTACCATGCAACATACCTAGTGGGCGCCGCCAATCAGCTGTTGGACCCTGAGAGCCGTCCCTAGTTGCCGGTGGTATTATCCGCGACGAGAGGGGCTTCGAGGTTAGCTGATCTGGGGTCGGTCGGCGACGTACTGGTGGCTCTCAGCTTTTGCCGGGGGGGGGGGGGGCTTCTAAGACGCAACTCGTCTGACGGCGCCTGGCTGCTGTCATGCCGCACCGCCGGGATTTCCGGGTGCAGGGTGCGATCTGTGTCGGGGTCGATGGTTGACTGACCACTGTCTTGATTCAGCAAGGTCTTTGATACATGAATGAACCCCCCTCGAAAGTCATAAAAACCTCGTGTTGACCGCATCCACCAACCGACTTCAAGCCAGCACAGAATCAATATTTCATCGAAACGAAAGACAGCCAGATCACCGTAGACCGGTTAGCGCCAAAACACACCACGACAACAATTCCATCGTCTCTACTAGCCCCGAACATAAAAACAGCCAAAATGCCTTTCCTCGTTGTCGTCACCCCCAACATTCCTGCCGACAAGAAGGATGAATTCCTCGGAGCATGGCCGCAGGTCAAGGAAGATATTGCGAAGCAGCCAGGCGTTATTGGAGTAGCTGGTGGACATGTCATCAACGAAAACGGAACACCTGTGACAGACTTCAAATTCCTGCAAACGATAAGTGAGATCCTCCTCTGAAGTCAAGTTGTTTGGCAGTACCTAAATCTCCTCGTAGCTTTCGAGTCCGCGGCAGATGACAAGGCGTTTGCCGATTCGGCGTGGATCAAAGAGCGTGAAGAGCAGTTCAAGGCTGGTCCCGGCGGCGAGCCTCGAGTCAAAAAGTTCGAGACTGGTCCGCTTCCCGGTGAAAAGCCTAAGACATTTACTCAGTTCTGCTTCATTGATGTTGCAGACGAGAGTAAGCATGAGGAAGCGAAGCAGGCCTGGATGGACCTAGTTGCTGCCCTCGGCCAGACCGTCCACTTTGGAGGAAAGAGTGTAGATGGAGGTCAGTCAACTGGCTTGGGCATCTTGGGATGGGACAGTGATGAGGTAAGCCTTCCATCTGATTGCTACGGTCTTAGGTTATATGTATTCACTGCTAACACGTGCGCCAGGAAGCAAAGGCTGCTTGGACTAAGCCGGAGGCACAGGCGGCGCTGCAAAAGTACCAAAGTTTTGGAAAAAGCATTGGCGTCATGGTAAAGCTGGATATATAGATCAGGCATTCCTGACATATGGTAACTTTCAAAGCTGAAGTATCAATGTTACGAAATGTGGGAAGACTCTGCTTGTGCTCTGGTATGCCAATGTTTGAGTTACTACCATGTACCTTAGTATACTACTGTAGTGATCATATCAAACAAACAGAACTTTAGTGCAATTGCAACGTCGGCTTTTGACTTTCAGTAGACAACTTTACTGCACAAATCATCCTAAAGCGTGTGGGAAGAGTAAGATCATTGTCAATGTCGAGATGTGTTCCAATGTGGTTGAACAATCAATTTTCCCTTCTAGCAAATTCGTGGTAGAAAGGTCGCAGCTCCTCTATCCCTCTTCACTGCACGTACTTGACCACAGCATTTGTGCAGAATATGTCATCATAAATGCCTCAAGCCCGTTCAAGACTCAATCGAATTTGATAATTACGCTTCATCATCTTGTCATATTATTCTCATCAGGAAGGTAACTGGCCCACGGCCGGTCAAGATACTGAGTAAGTACATGGTGGTGAGAGCGGTTCGGACATTACAGCCCTATATTACGACGCAAAGCTTCGAAGCTATATGAGTAGGTAGTTGAAGCGAGCAATTGATCATCAGCCAGCCTCATTCGCAGCAGACCCCAACAAATCGTCTCCCCAGTTTGGAAATGCTTCCTGATGACAATTGCGTATGCGGTCTTCAACTCTCTCTGTAATTATTTCCCTCCAATCCATGCCCATCTCCCACGCTTTGTTGCAAGACCCACGCCGAAGGAGCCGGCGATCATGAACGATGCCCCAGATCACCGTTTCCAGGTAGGGAAATTTCACATTTGCCATAGCCTTAGCTAAAGACCTTAGGTTCTCCTCTCCATAGTTACCCCAGCCATCAATATGAAGCTGCCGTAAGCATTGAGGCAAAAAGTTCGGTAGAAGCTGCAAGTCCGCCTCCATTTCTTGTATCGTGCCTCCGTCCCTCCGATGCGGCCAGATCATATAGCCATCAAGGTTGATGGATTCGAGAGCCTTGAAACCGGCCAGAGAGGTCATTGAGTATGGCCGGCTTGGATCCGTTCGCAAATCATCACTTGCAATGCTCTCCCCAAACCGATTGATCACAGTGAGATGTTGAAGAGTCTCCTGGTGATTATGGAGGGCGTCTTGGATCTCTCTGGGCGTGGGAGAGTGCAAGTTGCTGGTCGAGTAGCTGAAATGTGTTAGGGACGGTAGGCGATCCATTAATTTAGGCAACATTCCCTTCCAAGACCCTTCCATGCGGAGGTGCAGCCACCTGAGCAATGGCAACTTCGGAAGACCCTCCAGCCCTCCAGCAGAACATGACAACACCTCGAGATTCGGTGCACTGTCTATGAGTAGTCGTTCAATGGGATCAGGAATCGGGTGACAAAGACCCTCATCTTTATGGTCGTCCTCAAGACACGTGTCGTCGCTATATCTCTCAGTCTCCAGCTCCATGTGTCGTACCTGGCCCAGCAGTATTTTTGACTCATTTAGTTTGGGCCTCCATTTATTGATCCATTTTCTCAACGGGTAAAAGACCCACCAACGTGGTACGCACAAGCTGACGTTCTGGAGATTCGGCGTCATAATCAATAAGAATTGGATTAGAATCTCAGGGAGAAGATCGTGGTCCAAGCCGGCGGGATTGATATCTAGACCTGTCTTTTTCGACAATCGTGTAACTTGACTGATTTCTTCCTGAGTTGCACATTCTAACGAAGGTGAACAGATGATACATTTCTCTTCAAATGCATTGATATCGATGGACTTGAGGCAAGAAGAAAGATGGGCGTCTTCGTTGATCGTTCTCAGTAACTGGAACAACCGAGGTATCAAGTTTGTTTCTTCGCTTGTCCAGTTCATGGTGCTCATGGTGCAGTGGTGTAAGAAAACGTGAAAAAGAATTGGCTGAGCAATTTGGCGTAGTGACCGTGATGTGAGGCATAGATTGCGTAGTCCAAGCCGTTCTCCGTCGTCTTCTGTCGAGCTGACGGCGGCGCTCGGCTTGTCGAGCTGCATTTTGTGCTGTCGACAATGACAGCAGAGTGAGGTGCAAATCTGGTCGAGAATCTCGACTGGTAGATCTGTGAGGGAAGCCATTGAGATGGTTTGTATTTTCGCCACAAGTGAATTGGGAATTGAGCAGATTGAAAAAAAGGACTTGTTCTTGATATGAATCTTGATACTGGAGCGGTGTTTTGGGTGCTATCACCACCGTCCAGATGGTTGTCGTTGTCGTTGTTGTTGCTGTGACCACAAAAGTGGCGTGATAATTTCCACCTCGTTCAGGCAGATTTCGTTGAGGTTGGAAGTTTGGAAATTCTTGGCATGTTGGTGACTCATACATGACTGTTGAAATCAAATAGCCAACGCTGCTCATAAAAGGCTCTTTTGTTTAGCCGAGGCTCGCTTGAAGCCCCTGCAAATTGAACCTCTTCTAATGTTGGTCTCGATGTTGGCCCTCATCAGCGACGGCAATCCCATCCCGTTTACCTTGCTCTCCCTGCCAACCTAACTCTAGAAACTTGGGCGGCTAACAACCCGGCAAGCTCACCGATAGCGTTGACATAGCTGAAGGAGAGCAAGACGGATTGTACGGCAAATGACATGGGGAAGAAATCTTTCGGTCGAGCATAAGCTTGTTCGAAAAACAAGACCTCTAAGCCGCTGCGATTAGGGACGTAGCTTGCAAGCTCCACGTACATGCTTAGCCCTGCCAGAGCCATCAATATTCCGATTGTTCAGCAGGTAAAGGCAAGGCTGACATAACCGGTGCCGTTCAGGACCGATGCAGCTATGCTAAGTCGTCAGTTCATGTTACAGTGAGTCATTGAATCTGATGCAGCATGTGAAGCGGACGAGTCGAAGACATTCTGGTGCCAATCATCTGCTTGACTTTAAGAAATATCACCGTAAGTGCACTCTATGTGATAACCTGATGGCGACTGCTTTTAAACTGGTGTTTCTACTGCCTTCTGGTAAGCGGCCTTCGACCCGTTGCCTCCCTTTACAAGCGTATGCGCAAGATCTCCATCCCGTTCAATGGAGTGTCCCGAGTCTCAGGCCTCTAAGTCGGGCTGTCAATCGCCCACAAGGCTTTATGTCAACTCTATCAAAGAAATAATAGTAGCAGCATTTGCGGGGAAGAAGAAAATCCAACCAAAACCTGGGGCTTCCAGGCTGTTATCCTTGGTTTATTGTTATGCGGTTTATTACTTGAATTCTTCCTCCTTCGGTTGCAGTACTAGTTTCAAAGGTATGCGATGCTCTCAGGAATAGCATCAAATATCCCGGAGACCCAGGCCTGCCTTTCTTATGGCTTGTGCTTTATTGCTGTTCACAAAGTGTTACGATAGCCCTCCTATGTCAGCAAGCAGCACACAATGCTGACTGGCTATCGCGAACAATGCTGCAGTCCTCATCACATCTGGTATGGATTGCAGGGGGTATAGCTATGAGGAAGAAAGCCAACTAGGTATGATTCAAAATGTACCTCTGCTTTTTTGCTCGTGAATAGGCCTCTCGCTGTTCCGGGAACCAATTCTTACTGTCCAGTGAATCTATCTGGGTACGAACGTCAGCCTCTTGGCACGTCCTTTGCCCAAGCCCCAGCCAACACCGGGCCGACCATATTTTTCCGGGATCCCAGTTTCGTAAATTTAGGATGCACCTCTAGAGAAATAGCAATTCATTGGTTGGGCCGATTTGGAAGCGTTGAGTTCATGGGCGCGTTGCCCAGATGCGACTTCCAGAAGCCAAAGCGGAATACATTCTTGACAGCCTAGACTGAGCTACGGATAACTGATTTATGACCTTCCCTTACTCTTGTTTCCTTCGCTACGGATGAATGGCTCTAGAGGGAATATCTGAGCTTCTGGAGTAATGCCATCGTACAATTGAGCCCATCTTTCTTTCAATGGCTCTGGCGTCTCCCAGCCATACTCTGGATCGCGCAACCACTGTCGTAGCAGATGACGCCTATGGCAGTTGAAAATCAACCAGTCAACACGATACCCTTCTTGAATCCACCAGTAAATAGTGGAGGCATGAACTTACTGTTGCTCTTGAGTATCGGTGAAGCCATCACGAGCATGGAAGATACCCATGTTATTGGCGTACTGAATGTCGCCTTTTTGGAAATCCAGGTTGACGGCAAACTTTTCACCAAGATAATGAAGAGTATCAAGTGCTTCCGCTTGTGCCTCGGAGATCGGTGGGATCTCGTCACTTCGGGGAAGCGCACCGTAACCGACAAAGTATCGACGAGCGTATTGTACAGCTAAGCGCTCAGGCGTCTTTGAAGTCGCAGGTTGGTAGTGCACCAGAGGTCGGGAAGTGAAAGACTTCTCGGGCTTGCCGAAACTAGCAATGATACACATCGTTAGCCGATACTCATCTCGTTACATCAATCCATTCTCGTTAGCATGCAGCTACTTACACCTCAAACTGCCAGTCTTGCGTGAGGGTGTGGATGAGATCAGGACGCGTACTAGCGATCTCATTGTAAACCCTCGCGATGCTTGCCAATTTGCTCGTGCCGCCCTCCGCAGCAGTGGAGAGAGCAAACAGAGAGACAATGTCTCCGGCATCCGTATGAAATACTTGCTTATCCGCAGTGTAGGCAGGACTGCCAATCTGGCCCTTGTCCTTCGTCAAAGTCAAGTCTTTGATATGAGTGAGAACTACATCGGCTGGCTTCCCGTCGTATTGCCTGTCCTGGCGACCTCGTTGAGGTGCGATATGTGAAGACAAGCCTGCGTAAATGATGATGTTATCTTCTCTTGTGTGCTCATCCACACGAAGGCCGCGGATAACGAAGAATCCGTGCCCATTGTGCAACTCGTATGAGAGCTTTCGAAGCTCGGGATGAAGCTTGGGCAGGGGAAAGTTTTCCTGACTGATGTGGCCAAGCGGCAGATTCAGCGCTTCGTGGATGGATCAGCTCTAAGTTGCTATCTTGCGGGTTGCATGTGAGGTAATCCATCATACCTCTGAAGTGAGAGAGCGCTGCGTCAAGTTCGTCAAGCTGTTCTGTTGTGAGGGCATATGTCCAATGATACTCGTTGGCTAGTGTTGCTCCCTCCCAGACAATATCGCTCGTGAACTTCTGCGGAAGACCCTCAGGCAGGTTTTTGGGAAGACCAGGCTCCTGAACTCGGCGGGCAGTCCGAGCCTGAAATTTCTGATAGTCTGGGGCATACTGGATGTCCGGCTGCACTGGACGGGTCAAAGTGACGGTGGCCATAGTGATACAAGGTGTGCCAGATTTCCTCTGCGACGGCTGAAAGCACAGAAACTCTGCCCTCTCTGAAGATGCTGCTCAATCGGCTGGTCAACGCTGAGTTAGTTCGTTAGCTCTGGTGAGATTGAACCTCGTACCTTGTGCCTAGACAGCAGATATCAATACCGCTGGCTGTTCCGGTTTCGCTGCGGTGATGGCGACATTGCTCTCCCCAATGTCGTGCCGCGGAGAAAGTGGAGTAATCAATGCTTATTGAAAAAGCTCACGAATAGCCGATCGTTTGATGACCACCACTATCGCCCCTCACGTGAAAGTATAGGAACACTCGAAGTAGTGGATTCCTATTACCTATTCCCGTAGACATGCATGACTTTTCATTAACAATAACACATACAGTTGAGTACAGGCGTTGGGGCCTAGAGAATAGTATACCTCAATTCAGACTGATTACCGCTGCCTATAAACGACAGTACCTACTCCGATGACACAAGAGGATTCGCTGTCAAATACTTGGTACACAAAGGGGCGCAATTTCACTTTGACTTTGCGTTGTTGTTCCTCCTCCACTCCTCGCCCATTTCCTTCACCTCCCTGTTCGCCTTCAGAATTTGATCGCGGGCCCCCGGCCAAGCCTTCCGGCCCCGCCCCGTCTCGAAAAGCCGGTAGACCGCCGGTGAATCGGCACCGTCCATGAGCAAGTTGTAGAACTTTCGGTCGCTCCACCAAAGCTTCCAGGCCTCCATACTGAAACAGCCAACCCTCTCCGTTACCCCGGTTCCTGCAACCTTGTTCAACCATGTGTAGGTGTCGCTGCCGAACATCCTAAACCCCAGGTGGGGTAGCGGCCCGCGTCCAAGGGTATCCACAACGGTGTCGTAGTGTCTGTTGATGTCTTTTGTCATCAAGTCGGGGGAGGGAAGAGGGATTTCTCCGCTCCAAAGGCTGGCGAGCGCCATCGTGACGAGGTCATTGAACACAAATGGCGCCTTCAGGATGAAGAAGTGGCCGATGAACGCAAGTGATTCAGGATACTCCTCTGACAGAAACCCTCGATACAAGCGAGCGAATTGGACATGAGGGTCCTTGAATCGAGTTGCGTTGATGCGCTCAAAATGATCGGGAGCTTTTGCAGGGTCGGTAGGGTCACCCGGGCCTTTGATGACCGAGAAATCGTACTCATATCCCGTGCAGATGATGATGGCATCAATATCGTCTAGAACTGTACCATCTGTGAAAGTGACCGACTTGGGCCCAGTAACTGCCTTCACCCCAGGAACAGTACGAGTGATACCGTCCCTCAAGTTCTCAGCGAGGTCATTTGATAGAACCGGAATCCGATGCTCTGCGCTTGCGAGAACCCGGGGAGCCACAAACGACGGATGTTTGCTGAGCCAGGGATATGCTTTCCTTCGGGCGCTATCCAAAGCGTTTGTGAAGAACATGGCGCAAGCCCTAGGCCACCAATCACCTAGACTTCGGAAGATTGTGAGGGCACGGCGCGTCATGCTGTGGTCAAAAGCGTTACCCCGGACCATTTTTGGGACCTGTGATCGCATTCAGAACCATACCCTTACAAGCTAGAATCACATTCGAGAGTCCGGCAACTTACCAGATAGAACTGCTGACGATGACTGATTGTGATTGAGCGAGCGTTTGCCTTCTTGAGAAACGACTGCGTGTCAGCACTTGTAGCCCCAATCCCGATAAGCAAAACATTTTTGCCCGAGTATCTGTATGGGTCCTTGAATTCAATAGAGTGCTTGGCCTCTCCCTCGAACTTTTCAATGCCTTTGATATCTGGCATCATTGGAGTGTTGACGATTCCAGTGGCCAGCACAACTCGATCGAACACATGCTT